GATTGTGCGGTCCATGTTCAAGCCCTGGTTGGGGACATTGTATTGTTCTCTTGGGCAGGACACTCGACTCTTACAGTGCCTCTCCCCTTGTATATGATGCAGGTCAAAATGAAATTCAGGTTAAAATGAAATTCCTTTGTCTCTTAACCCTAATTATTCATGGATAATGAATAATTAGGGTTAGAAGACCGAGAAAATTGAGAATCAAACTAGGTTAGAATCATTTTAACCTGAATATTATTCCTGTTTAGCATCATACATTCCACGGGGAGGGTATGGATATTCTTTGAACTTTCTTACTATAACTTTTTCAAGATTTATAAAAATAAATGCTCAATATACAGTCATCAGTGCTCAATACAGAGTGAGTTTAATCTTGTGGTCTTGCACTAGTACAAATTTCAATCAGTCTTCACACAACTATTCTGTATTAAAACTCTATTTACAAAGGGTGTTCTGAAAATTGACAAGGCATGAAGCAACTACTACCATTTGAGTTGCAAGAGGGGCCAGAGACAAAGGAATTTTCCGACCAACAAGTTTGAACTGCTTAAGGCGTTCATTAAAACGTTCTACATGAATCCTAGCCTTAGCAATACGACGCGTCTCCAGTTCCTCTGCAGCACTAAGAGTTTTTCTTCCTTTCAGAAATGATGGAATTTTTAATTCCACTTGGAGTGGATTTAGGAGCTCCCGCACAGTAAAACCCCGATCAGCCAATACTAAATCATATGGTTTCAGGTGTTTCATAAGCCCACTTTCTTTGAAGATTGCAACATCATCAATATCCCCTTCAAACAAATCTGACACAAAGCATGCTCCGCCATTGGGAGTTACAGCAATGAGACACTTAAATGTGTTTGTGTGCTTGTATGAAGAGAAAGTGTTCCCTTGCCTAGCAAAATTCCTGGAGCATTCTACTCTAAACTCAGTACAGTCAACAATACACCGTATTTTCCTCATGGTTTTGAAAACTTTGGGGAGGAACCTGCTGAGTTGGGCTCTCTGAGGAAACATGAAGTGTTGCATGTCTCTAAACGTTACATACATCAGCTGAAGAAAGGTGGTGAAAATTTTGCGTACATAGGATGGATCAATTTTTCTTTCTGGTGTACTGAGAAGAGCTGCTAGAGTCTTGAGAGTAAATCCTCTCCTAAGTCTCAGAAGGCAAATAAAAAGCTTCTCCCTTGATGAAAAATCACTTCTTGGGCCAGTTCTTGCATTTTCCGTTGCAGGGCAATCTTTACTAGTCCAATAGTTTATGGTCTCCAAAGGACAAACGTCGTCTAGAAAATTATGCAAAATCTCAAACTGTGGAGGTGAGAGGCCAATGAAGTGTTTCATAAGACTTGCATCTCGCACGATGTTTTCGTAAGATAGAGTACTTACTATTGTGGGAGCCTGAGGTTTCCTCGTGGCAACATCATTCTTCAAAATCATGGTCTCGACCTTTGCGGATAACTCGTATTTAGAATACAAGGTCTGAGAGCCTTGATCAGAAACCAGCTTTCCTGTAGAGTGCTCATACACATGTGGCGTCGCATTACATTCTTCATTGGTTAGAGATTCGTTGAGTTTGTTTAGGATGGCATCGACCGTCGATCCAGATTCTAGTGACTCGCGATCGACAGTCGGTATACAGTAGTCCAGTAATTGTTCGCCACAGTTTTTGTTGTGTAACTTTTCTTTCTTTGTGACTGGTTCCGCTCTTGATCTCGGAGCTTTTTTCTTTGGAGCACATGCTCGACTCGCTTGTGCTCGTGTTAGATTCGCTTTCAGCGGATCAGGAAATTCAGCCGTGGGACCTTTTTCTCCGGGCCAGTGAAGAGCACAAATATAAGTATTTCTGGTAATATTTTTCTCTGTAAATAATTCCCGAGAACAAGCTACTAGCCAACGCTTGCACTTAGCAATGTCTTGCGACGGTTTTGGGAACGGTAGGAAGACTTTCTTGCCCGATGCTTGTAACTCTTCGAGAGATTTTGTCCATTTGTCAGGATACCTCGAGTCTGTTTTACACTCACCCCAACAGCAGTGTTTGGTAGAAACCATTTTTTGTCCCTCTAATTATTAACTCCATGATTTCACCAAATTTTCTTCATTTTTGTTTCACTCTTGCAGCCCTCGCACATACATTTGCCTTTGGCAGATCGAAATGTTTGTCTGAGTCTGTGTGGGGGGTCTCATGGGATCTCATGTGACAAAATCTATTTTTAGTAATAGTGCAAGATGCTATTTATGTGTCATGATCATTGCTGTGTAAACATGGCTGAAATATGACATTAAAAATTTGTGAAGTTTGTCTGACTGTTTTTGTTATTATCTTGCCCCTTTAAAGGAAAAGTTGGTTCTTTACAAGTTGTAGTTTGGTCCAATACAATCTCAACAATGTTATTGCAAGAACTCTCATCAAAAATAAGCTAAAATCATTACTCAGTCCTGACTGAGTGCAGTCATCATAAAAACAGAGATAAAAGAAAGAAAATGTGTGTACTGACCAAATGTATTTAGTTGCTTGAAATTATGCCAAATAAGGATGCCATCATTTATGTCAGCAAATGCTTTTGGCTGTCAGAAGAGTTGTCTGCAGACTGGCTTCCCGAAGGCTTTCAGCAGCCCGCATCATAGGCTCTACTAGAGAGGACTCTACCGGAGCCGAGTTGTTTTCTGGATTTGTTGTTGTGGTTTTTGTAACAGGTCTGTGTTTTTCCGGGGCTGGGTTGTTAGCCCAGCGCCCAACCCCCAAACCTGGAGGGCCAGTTGGTTTGGTTTCTGAGTTTTCCTTCTCGTAGATGGATTGCCAACCAAGGCTAATGAGCTCCATGCACCCGTGGTTTAGAATCAGAGTTTTCCTTCTCCTAGACGGACTGCCTACCAAGGCTATTGAGCTCCATCTACCCGGGATTTGGGATCAGAGTTGTCCTTCTCCTAAGCTATGTCGGTCCACAGCACCCTATTCCGTATTATTCAGGTGCAACCCCCCAAATGGAGGTCTCCCCTATCCGCCACCCGGGGGATGCGCCCCAACGCCGTATAGCCCCAGCACGAGGGTCAGTAAATAGATCATTGTATTTGATAAGTATTGGATGACTTCCATAATTTTAGCTTTATAAGGGCACTTTAAACATCTGAGGTACAACCTGTTTACATTTGAAACTGAAAGTCATTTAGTTATGTTGCTACATGAGCTGTTCAATGCAGTATTTCATACCTTCTTAGCCAAGCTGATGAGAACAGCATAATTCTTTCTACATCTATCATCCATTTCTGGACATGCATTTGCCATTGCTTTACTTGGTTCTGCTGTCCTCATCTTTAGGATGTGGGCTATCGTCTGGGTGAGACCAACCAGCATCCCAATGGCACTTGATGCCCGGCTGAAAACTTCCTCCACCTTTATTTCACCCTTTATTGGGCATCAAGGCCATCTGGGCTTCTCCAGGGGGGGCTGGCAGCTACCTTTGATCTTGCCGCTTTTCCTGTTTCTATGATCGCCCCAGTAAAGAAATCTGTCAATCATTCGAAAACTAGAGTGAGCATGCGCAATAGGTAGCATCAAGTCTCGTGCTCGAATGGACGCTCGAATGCGTAGAGACCCGCGAACAGGTGTTTGTGTAAAATGAATTACCTGTTGGTTGTTTTCCTGCTTTTAGCATTTTTTTGCGGTAGTACGGAATTTAAACGTTCCATTCCTGTGGTTCGCCCTGATGAATTTGTAGGGAAGAACTTTACTGGTGTGAATCGAATATCGAATAGCGCTCCCGGTGTCAGCACCCACTTGACCTGGGAAATGAAATTCAATCAGACGTTTTATAAACCTGTGGTTTTAGTTTCCGAAACTATCAACTGGAATGCAGTCAAAGGTCAGTTCTGTATAAGGTTGGTAGAGTCAATATTGAAAATGCGGGTGAGAAGTGTCCGACTTCAGACTCGCAGTTTGTTGACAACCAAGATCATGTTTGGTAATTCCACGGACGATTGGACTTTTCGTCGTCTCAGGAAGAAATTATTCACTGGAAACTGTAGGGTTTATCACACGCCATGTTCACGTCAACAAAAGAGAAGGTTTCGATTGCGATTTCTAAAGTAAAGAAGCGTCAAACATTTATACGACTGCCACCGACAAGAGTCCGCGCTTACATGTAGGTTGGAACTTACATTAAATTATTTGTATCAAGTCTTTTGTTTCGTTGCTCTTGAATGCAAAATTATGTGTGAAACACCACGTTTATTTTACGGAATTATCCCTCTGTTTGAATGCTTCATGGTAGCTGTTCTTCCAGTTATGTTGGTCAGTTTTCAGAGTTCCTACAAATGCTTTACACTTCGGACACAAGGAAAATAGCTTCAATCCTTGAGAACATTTTTAGATGATAAAATTTGGAAGATGAACCAACAACTAAAGAATGGTTAACCTTACAAACAGAGCTACCAGGTTTGCATGTTTTCACTAGAGGACTGAAGGACTTAGCAAATTATCTACACCAGGGTTGGGAAACCTTTCCATACTTTACAGTTCCAAGTTAGTCTCAATAGAGACTGCAATGAACCATCACACTTCAGAGCTGTTCCCTGCATGCACATGCAACTGTTTAAATTCTAATTGCCGGACACATAAGAATGAACGTTTGCTGGGCTATCTAGAGAGATTGAGGGGTTTGAATATGATTTTTTTGTCCCTCAGTTGTACAACATCCAGCTCACTTCAAGGCAAAGACATCCAGGCCCTTATTAATAAATGTGAAAAGTTTGTTGAGAGGTTAAGTTCAGTGACAGTCGGTGAACTGTGCAATCATGTAGTAAAGTCATTCCGAAAGTTCTTGCTCACACGGGCAGAAACTTTGGAATCTAAACTGTACATTCTGAAGGAAAACTCCACTTCCACCCACACACCTTTGGGTGAGGGCGATTGTACTACTAATCAGGAAACAGATTTTAACATCAAATTGCACCAGTATGGTGGAGGGAAACAGTGTGTTATTGCTGGGTGTCAAAATGGGGCTGGCATGCATTCAGTAACTACTTTACAAGGAAGGAATGAAGTTGACCCTGGGTTGGCAAATGAACCATGGTTGCTCTATGTGTGTAATGATCACTTTGAAGTAGACAGGCAGATCCATGACTTAAGCACTGAAGAGTTTCCAGAAAGTCAAGTACATGTCACACAACTGAGCACATCACTTAGCAGTTTATGTCATCAGTCAAAGACACTATACAACCAACACCCTTGCCAAAAACATGTTATAAAAATCTTTGATTAAGAGTGCCAGATTCCACGTGACAGTGTATCTTCCAGGATATGTACATTTGACAATCAGTCATCCCCTTTGCAAACTCCACCATTGCTTGATTGCTTTTTGCCCGCAAAAACTGTTCCAGTTCAATTGCTCTATCAAGTACAATTCAAGCTCCTTCAGAACTCAAATGTCAGTTTTCTGCACACCCGTTAATGAAGGAAATATACCAAACCATGGCCACTAAGTTTTTATGTGAAATGACTGGTTGGAGCATTGCTGTTGAACAACCTACCTCTTTCAAGTTTCAGTTCTCACCCCAGAGAGGTAATGGACAAAATCAAAATGAAAGATTGCTGCACCTATTCCTTAAGGATAGTGAGCTTCATTACCAGGCATATATCCTAAATTCCAAAGTTAACATTTGGGGCTCGCTTGGCAAAGTACAACAGCAAACTGTTGCAAACATATCTTCTCAACTTTACACTACTTTAAAGAGAATTGAACATGAAAACATCTGTTGTGGAGTGTATGATTCCAACATCTTAAAATGGGCAAAATAGAAAATTGGATCACCAGACCTACCACAATTAATTGTTGACTCTGAATGGGTAGTTCCTATGAGGAAAGGTAACTCAACAGTCTATATAAATGAGGCAGTAAGGAAGGCTAGAGTAAAGTGGGATGCAGGTAAGTCCTAGTACTTGCCTTGAATACCAATTCTTGGTAAAAGAGCAGAGTAGGTCTGGCTGCTGTCAAGTGTGTCAGAAAATGCTTGAAGACTCTTTGAGGAAACATAACGAATTAGCTCCAGCAACTGAGGAAAGGGCAACCAAATCAGACAGTAAAGTTAAACTCTCTACACTCTCCCCATCACAGCTACTTGATCGAGCACATAATTTAAGCAATGAAGTCAGAAAACTGAGCTTTCAAAACAAACGTCTCAGGATGATGCTCAAGAAACAAAAACAAAAATTATGTGTTCCTAATTTCCACCCAACTTTTGAAGGACTGTCTGAGATGGTGAATTTTGCTGTTACAAACAAGCTGCTGAAAGAAGGGTCCATTCTGTATTCTCTTTCCCTGTTTACAGTGTCACAGCTGAAAAATTGAAGAAACACATGGTCTGGCCTCTCATTAAAGCACTAGGTAAGGTTTTAGATGGTAAAATCAAGGTGGTATATGGGTTTGTGATGGAGCTCCATGGAATTCAAAATTTTTTAAGAAGTCATCAAAAAAAAGCTCCATGGGTTGGGCAAAATGAAGTAACAGGAGGTGACATNCTGTAAGTCTCTCTGTCAAATGTAAACAAAAGGGTTATGAAGCTGTTAGAAAATGGCTACCTTTACCATCATGGCGTTTAGTACAGGAGTACAGGAATATGGATACTTCATCTGATCCTGTTGATCTTACTCAATTACAAAAATGCTGGAATGAAATTAAACAGCGTGGTATCTGCAACCTGTTTGGCTTGCATTGGGATGAAATTGACATACGCAGTGGAGTTAAGTTATGTAGGAGGACTGGACAACTAATTGGCTTTGAAGATTTTAATCTTCCATCTGAACTGGAGACTGATGATGAATTTGATGAAAGTAATTTGCCTCATGATTTAAATTTTCCAGAGGAAGAGGAAAATGAGGACACTAGTGAAGATGATTCTGAAAATACTTATGACTCTGACTCAGACTCAACTAAAATTTCTAAACCTAAAGTTGCACGCCAAATTTGTCAGTTTTTCTTGACCAGTCTTCAGGGTGATTTTACCTGGCCAGTAGCCTCTTTCCCTGTTTACAGTGTCACAGCTGAAAAGTTGAAGAAGCACATGGTCTGGCCTCTCATTAAAGCACTAGATAAGGTTTCAGATGGTAAAATCAAGGTGGTATATGGGGTTTGTGATGGAGGTCCATGGAATTCAAAATTTTTTAAGAAGTCATCAAAAAAGGCTCCATGGGTTGGCCAAAATGAAGTAACAGGAGGTGACATCTATTGGATATCAGATTATCCACATATGATCAAAAAGCTGAGGAATTTTATGCACAATCCTAATTACAATTTAACACACAAGGGACGAAGCTTAAAATGGGATCATGTTGCTGCAGTTGCTAGGCAGGATGACAGTCCTCTTAAAAGCAAACATATTTTCATTGA